ACACTGATTATGTCAAACGTGATCAACGAATGATACATTTACACTCTCATAATATTACTCTGAAACAATTTATGGAGCAAATGAAAACAGCAAACACTAATCATCAGAAATTTATATCAGTGTAACCAAAGAACAAGTGTTGCTTGTCAAAGTGGCTACGATGTTTGATGCAACTTATTTGTCAAATTGAACATTCATATTGATTCAGTTTGGACGCGTGAAAATATTTTCAATATATGTTGATATTGTGTAATGTTTATAGGTATTTGAATTGTAGTTGTAATCGAGAATCCCAGCAATAACGTAATTGGAATAATAAGTACTAGGTAACCACAAACGAGTGTACTGTATTTCGAATTCGAAATTAAGCATGCAACTAGTACAAAGGAATCATTAGTTCATTCTGCTTAAATTGTAGTTAAGGTGTCTGCATTCAATTGTACACCTTCTTCTCAAGTTCATCCTGTTTCTGTCGATTGGTGTAAGGATTCTGTGTTATCTAGACTGTGCTCATTATCATTAGAATCACCAACCAAAATAGGAACTGACTCACCTGGTTCCTGAAATTGTATTTGATCAACATGGCGATTGTGTGTACTTAAGTCATTGATATCTGGAATTCGCACCAAGGATTTCCCGATATTCTTCGGAACAATCTCCGTAGATAATTTGTAACTTCTGCGGACACCAAACATCTCATATGCGACCGAAGAATTCTTCCTTTCAATAGCTTCGATGGAGTCTCTTTCGTCACCAACTATTTGGCATTTCTATTATGCAATAGAAACGTATCTACTCCCCTTTTCAGCTCATTATACGTTGAGGCGGCAATAGAATCAATAGCATTTTTCAATGTCCTGACAAGATTTTCTGCCTGACCATTAGAACAAGGATATCTGGGAGCAGCAAACAGATGTTTGCACCCTATACCATTCAGCCAGTTAGTGACTGTATCTGCAGCAAAATGAGAACCATTATCGATCGCTAACACTATAGGAACCCCTTCTCGACTAAACACCTTTCTTAATGCTTGCATCGTGAAATCAGAATTTGGTGATGTTGTGAAAAAACTTCAAGTCATTTTTAAAAAGAATCAATAACTCCCAGTGCATAGTATTTGCCAAGAAAAGGACCACAATAGTCTGCATGATGACATTTTTACGATTGTTTGCCGTACGAGATATATCTGTAGAACTATGGTCTACTATGATATTAGTACTGCTCTAATAATAGACCTAATCCCAAAATTGTAGATTTGTCATGATATAACTGCCTAATCTATAAGATCTTACGTGGAAGTCACACCATCGACTACACCAACTCACTGTATCGTATCAATTACCAATACATGATGTAGAACAAGGTTATGTTAGAGAAGGAACAATATATTTAATATGAATAGAAGATATAAGGCAACATTCAGATGGACCACGCCTGCATGCCGAGCCATGTCGATCGATCAAATCCAATTCATTCAATTCCTTATTCGCGCCTTCTCCATCGTAAGGTATTTCTCCACGTTAAATATTGAATGTCTATTTCCCGAGTAATCTCGTATTCAGCTTTGAGGATTGTTAGTTATGGTCCAATGCCACTACATATCTGCATTTATCTCTGGCCACCAACATGTGAGCCTTGACAAGGACTTCATTTTCTCAACACCTAAATGACCACTATGAAGATCTTCAAGGACAGATTTGCGCAATGAAGGAGGAATAACAACACAATAATTTAAACACAAAATACCATCAGGAGTAGTGGACAGCTCATCTCTCTTTGAAAAATAGACAGGAAATCTACGTTTCAGTTTAGCATTCCAGCCTTTCCGTATAGCACTGAGCATACATCCAAAGTATCTACGAGTTTCTCTAATGAGATCTGAACGTCTCACTGGTAAACTCTGCACTGACAAACAGTCTGAAGTATCGACAGGTCTATCTTGCAATGATTGTCGAGAAATGTAGTCAACGTGTTGAATTTGTTTGGCACTTTTGTGCTGAAACGTATAGTCATATGCACTCAAAGCAATACTCCATCGTTGAACCATAGCAGCTGAGGAACGTGCTAGGGATTTTTCAGGATGACAAATAACGTTTAGAGCTTCATGATCCGTAATAATAATGAATTTCATTCCGAATACATATTTATGAAGTCTTTTAACAGCCCAAAACACAGCTAATGCTTCACGCTGAGTCTGTGAATAATCTTGTTCACTAACGGTAAGTTTGCGTGAAACACAAATAACTGATCTACCTTCCCGTTCAAAAAATTGCGCCAATACCCACAGGTGATGCATCAGTAATAAGCACAGAATGTACACTAGGGGAGTAAGTTCGAAGAACAGCATCACTTTGAAGAAACTTTAGCAGACTTCGTAAGCACGAATCCTGTTCCTCACCCCATTTGAAGGAATTGGATGTCAAAATATTAAATCAATAATTTGCACAACAAGAAAAATTAGGAATAAAACGGTAATAGAATTGAAGAGCACCCACTAGTAAACGTAGTTCCGTGAGATTTTTTGGGGACGGTGCATTTGTCAGTGGAGCTAGTTGTTTCATATCTGGTCAAAAGCCATTACCATCAACTAGGTATCCAAAACATTCAAAACTAGATACACAAAATGTACGCTTATTCGGATTCACTGTAATATTCTTCTCAATTGAACGACGTAATAAAGCAATAAGTCCCTCGTCATGAACGACCTTATCGGAACCATGAACAATGAGATCATCTTGGTAAACTTCAACACCTTCAAGATCACCAACTACTTTATTCATAACTTTCTGAAATATGGCTGCACAACAACTTAGACTAAGTGGAAGATTGATATAAAGGGACTTGAAGATAAGCATCTTTTGAGTCAACATTCGAGAACACTTTAGAACCATGAAGTCGATTTAGAATATCTTCAGTCTCTACCGTCGTGCACGTTTGCTTCAACAAACGGGAGTTCAATGTTAATCTATAGTCACCACATATTCTAAGTGTCTTGCCGTCCGACTTCAGTGGCGTAACAATAGGAGCACCCCAATGCTGAAGACTGAATCGGTTCATTTATGCCTTTCGCACACAAATCGTTTAAAGTCTTATGCACGGCTTCTCGAAGACCATGAGGAATTATTCGTCTTTTAAGAAAGACTCGCTCACCCTGTATTTTAAGTTTTATAGGCTGAGTTTTCATACCTCCACTGTACTTAGCACACATAGCTGTCAAATCTTTAAGTAAAGCATCAGAATTTTCCTTAGAAACTAGGAAAGACAACTCCACTTTAAGCCTTTTCAAATTCCTTAAGCCCAGTATTGACAGTCCTGTTTCGCTAACTAAAAATTCACAAGGTATGTATGAAGAATTATCATCTCTTATTAGCGATTCACAACGTCCTCGTATGGGCAGTCTGTGTTCAGTAATCCCCAATATTGATACTTTAGTGGGTCGGTCCACAACGTTGGAATCTAAAGATTTCAAGTTCTTGATTGAAATAATGGACTCTGTACTGCCTGTGTCCACAATAAAGTCATTAAATGAACCAAGTGATCTATATAATTGCTTTTGAATATGGGCTTTACCTTTCGAAATGGTAGAAAAATATAAATGATCGCTAGAAACATCCGAATTATTGAGATTTGAATTACAAGATTTAGTAATACTTAAAGTAAGCTGGACAGTAGCTTTGCATACTGACTGAATGTGTCCTATCTTACCACATATAAAACATTTAACATTACGAAATGCACATGAATTACGAGAATGATAAACACTTACCAAACTTGATCTCACCCTTGTGGCTTGCTTTGTTATTCCTTGTTGAAACACCTTTCATATTTACACGAGAATAGGAATCACTGTTAAACGAACGCAAGTTTGATTGACCCTGAGATTGTATTTCATCGTGACGACTAAGCAAATTATTAGAAATCTTCATCGACTGGATATCGAATTCATTCACTGTCTCGTAGTTAATACACGCAGTTCTAGCATCTTGAAAGAAACTGTTCGCAATTGTTGACAGTTCTCTTTCCAAACCCGGTATGTTAATTCCTACAATTAAACGATCCCTCAGTTACACATGAAGTTGATCACCAAAATGACATTTCGACGAATCATCTTATGAAATTTCGCCGTTTCACAGCATTCAAAACTAGTGCACTTTACATGATTTAATAATAGCCCCTTGAGCGTTGCATAAGCAAGTGAGATAGGTATTTCTGGATATGCCAAAATTTTTATTAAGCTGCACGCTTCTATTCCGATGAATGTCAGGAAATTTGCCACAATTTTATCACCGTTAACATCTTTCTTGGTCATGCTTCAGATTTCTAAACTTTCCAAATAATCCTGAAAAGCTTCAGAAGTTGAATGAATATCTAACTGCTTCATCACAGGCTCTATCGTGACGTAAATGTCGTGTTTATAATTATTTGAATTATAGTATGAACTAAGAATCCCAAGAATAACGTTATCGGATCAAGAAGTACTAGATAACCACAAACAAATGTACTGTGTTTAGAATTCAAAATCAAGCACTCAACAAGTACAAAGGTATCATTAGTCCAATCAAACACCACATAATCACATTTTCATAGTAACAAAACTTGATGAAAATTCAAAGAAAATAGACGAATAATCACAAAATCGGATTAATAGTCCTCGTGCTCTAAAACAGCCACAAACCGAAAATAGAGATGTAGAGTGTTTAGGAGAACAATGACCAGCATTCACAAATGCTTTGAAAGGAAACAATAAAAGTCAAGCAATCAAGTCCAACATTGCATATGACCACTGGCATGTAACTTAACACTGTTTGAAGGTCAACAGTTCACTAGACGAGATTCCTTTTGTTGACCTTATTCTTATAAATTTAGATCACGGTCTGTGAGCGTGAAATTGTTCCGAACTGTTAAACGCTTTTAAAGAGATCACGTTTTTTCTGTGACCTCATTTGTTATTTGTTAGCAAGATATCTATAAAAGAGAACTGTGCCAACCACTGTCTGATAATTGTAGATAATTTTGTCGTTGATTGTCAATTATCTGAACTCAAGAACTCTGTGAAAATGTTGGTTGTGGATAATGCTGATGGAAGACATTTTGATTCCACAAATCACTGTCAATCTCTCCACACAACACATGCAGAAACGTTAGTAATCCCATCATTAATGCGGTCCAAGAAATCATTCATCATGTCGATAGTGTTGATTCTTTCGTTTATGTTAGTCGATGATGCTTCAGCATTGAGCAGGTCTAATTTTTTTGAATTTGATTCGCAGTATACAAGTATGTATATTTCAATTAATTTTTATTGTGTTTTTGACCTAATGTCTGAAGATTTATTTCCAGTGTCCTTATTATTACAATGCAGTAGCTTAACCATTGAAACTACGTAAATATTTTATCGCGTGACTAGTGATATTATAAATAGAGTGCTCTTTAATCATTCGCAGCCTCGTTGAATGGAGATCTGCGATCTAATCTTTTGTCCAAATGATTCACAAATTAACGATTCTTATGCTATGTCACGTACTCACTGAAGACAATGGAAGATGGTTGCCCAATATCGTGGATGGAATGAGGTGGGTCTAAAGCACCGTTCGATCCCGCTCCAGTGACCTAGAGATCATGCGTTCGAGAGCATGACTGGATTTCCTCAGTTCGATTCTCGTGGATAGGGTTGTGAATGTAAAATCCTGAAATTCTCATTCTACGAGGAAACGACGGTTCACTGATCTTTTGTCTTCAATAGTGGTCTAACATTGATCAGTTAATTACTTCAGTGAAATTCAACAATCTTTACTACCTTGAACCTTGTGGTGTCAAATGAAATTTATTGAATTGCAATCTAAACAATTGTGTTGCTTTTATTACCATACGAAGTGCACCATATTGATACAATGTTTATCATTGTGAAAATACCTGAAACACACGAAATGATAACATTTTCACGTACCCTATTTTGTATAATGCAACATTGTTCGTGAGCGATTAGCAACAACTGAAATTACAAATACATCAATCACATATTAGTTTCAGTTGTTTTCGGCAGAAGATACATCAAAATAAATTTTAACAAGCTCAAATGACTGGTTTTACTGAAGGTGTATGTTATAATTAAATTTGGTAGAGGAAAATGCTTCATTTTCATGTGGATTATAGTACGATCTAACCGTGAACAGAGTTGACAAGCTCCTGGGTGTAATGAACAATGTTGTGTGAACAGTGTTCACTCATTGATTAATACCGATTCATGTGCAATACTCATTCTCCTTCAAACGTTTGTTTTAGATACGTTAACTACTAGTACAACTGAAAATATCGGCGATGACAATAATGTGTCGATTCATTCATCAGAGGATTTTAGATTACCACGTACATTGTTTCCACATTTCTACGATTTGTCAATTCAAGTCCATTTGCACGATAACAAGTCGCAAGCATTTTTCTTCAATGGATCTGTGACAATAAAAGTTTTCTGTAATGTGTCGACAACCGAGTTCTTCGTACATGCAGCCGATAATCTGAATGTGAGCTTGGATCAAATCCATGTAAGCTATCGTTTTTAAACTAAGGTTTATTGGAAAATAATCCGTTCTTTGAAATGAAGATAAAGTCAACTGAGAAACTCATATAATGCAAGGGTACCCAATAAAAACGAAACATTCACCCACATTTATGTCATCCTTTGTGTGGAAAGTATCCTTTATTTCATGAACATTTTTAATTTGACTGTTTTTCATTAAAAACTGGTTCCTAATCGGAACATCTCGCTGAACTAAATGAATTGACAATTTGATTAGTTTTAAGTGTACATTCAAATGTCTTAACCAAGTAAACTTGGAAGGCGATAACATCGTGTGAGTGAATTAATAATGTTGTTGTCTCTGTCAACCGAATTTTACATGATCGACCAAATGTCTACCACGTATGTGATAATAATATGACTGTTGAAAGTTATTATTCATTATTAACTGAAATTCAGAACTTAGATAAAGTTTATTCAACAAAATGTGTTTTCAGAATCATCATTTATAATGGTTTATTTGACAGTGATTCAAACAGAATTTCGACTAGACTGAAGTTCAAGTAAAAACTAACTTCTAATTAATTTTCAATTATATTGTAGTGAACAAAAACACCAGTGGGTACAATCGAATGTATTAGTTAGGAAATTACAGAACTTGTTATTAAATTTGCAAAATGACCATCAATTGTCCCGAAATGACTCAGACTTCATTGTTCTTGCATTTTCATACAAACTGCATTCTGTTTCCATTGTTTACTGTTTGATCCTCTTGTCTCTCTGCTGCCAGACATTCTGTTCGTGATTATTGTCATATACTACTTATGTCAATATAACTAGGACACACCACAATATGATCCAAGTCAGAACACAATTACATCATTGTATTTCTCAAATTATTTGAAAACAATATTGTCTGATACAACTTGGACGTAGAGTTGTACGAAAGGAAACAAGAGTGGCGACTACTTAAACGTAAAATGTTAACTGAAGGTTATTTTACTAGAACAAACAATATCATTTTTAAACAGTTTTAGCGACACTAACATAAGAAATTTGAATTTATTCAGGGGGTCAACCAATAAATTTTATCAAACAGCATAAGATTCTTTAATAACTCACATTAACTCTGCGCCCAAATATTGTGAAACTATTCGTTCAAATTGAGACGAAAGCTCTTATTTAGCATAAGATTCTACATTTATGATCCAAAACGGATCCCTTGAAAATACCAACATCACTGCTTTTTTAATAGAGCATCTAAGAGGCACATTTAAGACTAAATTCACTTGGTATTGCTAACTTGGATGTTCCCATTGATGTTTAGAACTGCAATTGATCATTCTCTTATATGCACATATACATAATGTGCGTATTGTATGGATATTGTATGAATTCACAATTATTATAATTAAGGATGGATAGTGGCTAGCAGTGGAATCCCGGACGCACGTTTGTCCTATTCAGGACTCGTCAGCTGGATATACTGTCCATCAGTATTCTTCATCCTACTCTGTCATAAACAATCCTTTCCAGTTCTTTCCACTCCCTATTCATCGAGTCAGTGTTTTCTTCTAATACTTGATTTAGTGTGTTCTTTGATTTTTATTTCTTCCGTTTCCATTCACGATTCCAAATTGGTACTTGCCTCGTGATGCAGTTTGGTGATTTCCACAATATATGTCCTATCCAATTCCAACGTCTTTTCCTAACTTCCTGTCCACTTGGAAACTAGTTTGTTATTCATTTTATCTGGACAAACAATATTGAGTACCTTTTGAAGACAATTGTCTATAAATGTTTGTACACTTTTGATGATGGTTGTGGTAGTTAACCAATTCTCAGCTCAGTGCAATAGGACTGTTTTGATGTTCTGTCCAGGTTGGTTCAATGTGTTTCACTGGGTCCGAATATCACTCCTCATTTCCGTAGCTATTTAGTCAGCTCTTGAGGCCTCCTCTATTGTCCATACATTCCATGTAACTATACTAATAGTTGCTCTGGTTGCAGGAAGATGAATAGGCCTCGTGCCTTCTGAAGAATCCCGGTTTTCACCATGGGGCATCCTAACTCTTCTAGTTAAATATCCCTGAGCTGGGAGACCAGAGTTTAAATAGTTCAAATGATGATTCTGTGTAGTCATGTTTTACCAAGGTTGTTTTCTGTGGCACGTGGTGGCTAACGTTATAAATCACACTCCTCATTTATCCGGGTTCGCAACGAGGAGGAATCCTAAGAGAGCTACAGACAGAAATATTTATTGCTGAACATAAGAGATTTTTGTTCGTATTATTCTTCTTCTTTCACTGTAGCGAATCCCACTTTCTACATAAACGGTAATAAAATAACATCTATTCAAAATGTGAATTTTCTTTGTGATCAAATATAAATATTGTCACTTTACAATAATTCCCGTCTCTGCTTTTTGAAAATAGATGTCGCTTCTTGATGAAAAAAATCAAACAAGTTCCTATATTCAAATAGACGAAGTTCATTATATTGAAGATGCTGGGTGTTATCGAATTAAACTCAAAACGCCTTTGCAACCATATACTTATTACAATCTGACATTTGGACAGTTTCGTTCTGATATGGACTATGATTCTGATGGACTGTACATCAGCAGATATTTGGAAAATGGGATTTACAAGTGAGTCTCGATTCAAGACATATGTGTGCAGGTTTATTCGGTGTCGGGTACCAACTCAATGGTGACCGCAAATAACACAATCATTTGCATACATGTTTGAACAGTGATGATCAACGCTTAACAATCACTTCAGAATACACGTTTATTTGCTCACTGTGTTTTGGTTAGAGATGCATTTATTCAGTGCTAACTCGGCAATGAAAATTCTTCTCTAGGAACACAATGTGTGTCTACTGATGTGTGACATGTCCACTAGTCATCATTTCGTAACTATGATCAGTATTATTACATGGTTTACAATTCCATTTGGTTTTCCATAGAGACATAGGTACCGATAAGTAATAGTTCGTGGAAGGTTTAGAAAGACTGGTGAATTTTGCTGCCTTATCAATATAAAATAATACATGTGGATTATTCCAAATAGCGTATGGAATTGTGAAATACTCATCATCAAAGATGTGTCAAAACTTTTCACGGCAGCGAAAATATGATTGTGTAGATGTACTGAACAACACAGTGGATGACACATTGACTTTCCGAAATAAGTGGACTAAATGAATGGTAACTCGTCAAAATCACAGGTGACATGTTGGGCAAGATATTTCTTTCGAGACATTTCTCTATGTTCGAAAGCACATTTTTAAGCACCAACTATCGGAAATGAGATATGTACTTGTAAAAAAATGTTCACCGTTATTTATATTTCAGATATTTGGCAAGTACTTACATGGAGTCAATTTATGCAAGGAATGTATTTCCATGTTGGGATGAGCCGGAATTTAAAGCAAATTTCAAGGTATGATATATTTGACCTTTATTTCATTTTCATAATTTTCCGTATGATTTTTGATCAGTTGTGAATCGGAGTCAGTTTAATAAAACGCAAAAACATTGAACCAAGTGATGTTTTTGATTTAAATGCTGTGTGTGTGATATGCGAACACGTGATTGATGATAGTGATGAGCTTAGCATATTTCAGTCATGTTATGAAACACATTATTGGTTACATTGACCTCGTTTTACCAACACACTTCAAAAGTTATTGATGTGTATCATATTGATTAAAGACAACTGGTTATCTGTTAAAAGGCACATATACTAAAACCGATGTACAATGTTCCTATGAGAATTTACTGGAATTAATCTAGTCGAATACAAACAGTGACAATCTAAAATAACGTATTCTCTTCTGGAACGTTAGCGTATATAATGACAGCAATACGTTTCTTGCACTAAATCAATGTACGGAATTGAGTTACAACACTCCCTATCATCTACATGTTACCACAAAGCTCTCCATAAATCATGATTAGGTAATCAGTGTTGATAAGTCTTAAATGTGAGCATATTTATATTTGTTTCACTACTTATGTGCGACGAAACCTGAAGGTGAATATCAAACATTCGCAGATGGCACTCAAGAGCATATGAACATATAGCCTATTCAGTATGCAACATGTTTCAGTCAGACAACAATTCCACGATTGCCCAATGAGTAATCCATCAACTCAGAAAATAAGTCTCCACATGAGTTAATGATTTCCAGGTGGTTATGTGATATATTGCTAGGTAAGCACGATAAGAATCTTGAATTGTTTCAATTGGTTAGACATGCCACTTATTATTCTAGAACAAATTTCTCACGTTTGTGTCTTTCAGGTCAATATTGTACGCCACAAAAATTTCCATTCGCTTTCAAACATGAATTTGGAAAGTACGGAAGTTCTGTACGATGATTGGCGTGTCGACAGGTATAACACCAGTGTGAAAATGTCCACATATCTGTTGGCATTTGTAGTTTCACAGTTTTCGAATATTCAGAGGACAGACAATAGAGGACGAAACGTGAGTGTTATCAATTAAACAGATGTTTTGTAATTCTCCATGCAACACTTTTGTAATGTATCGAAATCATGTATATCCAGGAAGAACCATCATGAGATTGCATGCAACCGATCATCCGAGTGGGTTCGGGATATACATAGATCCACTTTACATACATACCAGCATTCACTGTGAAGCAGTAGCAGTTCCTCGATATTTCGAATTTATGTGAACATGCTTACAATGCCACAGTGATGATAGAAACTAAAACAGAACACCTGAATAGAGGATGTTCCATACAAGTATTCAAAAGCACAAGTATTGTTTGATGGTGCAAGCCATTGTTTTACCAATGCTGAGTTCTCTGTGTTTCAATCAAATCACAGTGGTTCAATCACTCGTGACATTGAAAACAGTCTCTTCTGTCAAGTTTTAGCAATAATGATTTGAAGTTCATTTAATTTTTTCATAAGACTGATCCATTTCTGGATAAAATAATTCTTTCATTTAGTTCACTGTTTGGGCAAGACCGGATAAAATTCGATCAGCTGAATATGCACTTGATATTGGCATAAAATTATTGGGATACTTTGAAGATTATTTTGACATTCCCTATTCACTTCCTAAAATGGGTAGGTGTTTCACATAAATGTTTTCACGTTTAATAAATGTGTGATTAAATACTGTACAATGTAAACTATGCAACCAAACAATAAGGTCTAAATAACTGAAAGGGATGCATGATCAACCAAATCAAATGTTATTTTAATTACGCTAATTATATTTTGAACTGGAGTGAATTGAATCATAATAAATATATTCAATAAATAAATAATACGTTTGTTATATCCCAATGAGTAGAAACATTAAATTTTTTGATATATCGTGACTCAATGTGAGTCACTTCTTCAGAGAACAAATAACCACATCCAAAACGAAAGTATTCAGCCATTTAACTGCGGCAAATATTTGTATACATATTGATGTGCATAAGTATTCCCTTTTATTAGGAATGCACAACAGTGTATGTAAGTATATATGTATTTATATAAGTATATATGTATGTACGTTATGTCATTAGAACCGTTTACATTTGAAATATATCTTCCATCATGTTTCCAGATATGATTGCGATTCCTAACTCTTCAATAACGGCAATGGAAAACTGGGGTTTGATAACTTATGATGAAAATAAGATGTTATGGGACGCAGAAAACGGTTCAATAAATACTTTAATTGATGTGACGTTTTCTGTCTCACATAAACTTGCTCATCAGGTATGATTTTAAACGAAAAACGAAATGTTAAATTTACTTTTAATATCTTTTTAATTTGATGATCGTTCGAATCATAAACTTACACTACTTGGAAAACAAACGAAAACTGATTCATTGTAGTTTTTCACTGCAGCAATGACATTACACAGGATATCTGAGAATTCCGGCTAGCTAGTTTCGTTTACTTCATTAATTTGGTATCTGATAATACAGGTTTCTAAATCTATTCATTTGTTGTTCATTGTTGATAGATGTGTTAAGTATAATAATTATTCAAATGATTCAAGCGATTTCATAAATGTTTGTTGCTCATCCATCACCTCATATGTCATTATTACCCAAGTTCGGTTTACTGACAAGCCGAGTCACTATTTTCGCTATTTTACATGTGGTTATATTGTAAATATAACACAATTACTGCTCCCATGTAATCATTTCTCACAAGTTGTAGATGAACTCCATGAGTTACTCATTTGCACTACACCATTCAGAATTCCTTTACAACTAAGATTCAGGAACGAAATATAAGATGCAATGTACAAGCATCATTTTTAACAATATAAGTATATGACCTTATGTAAATATCGAAATCGATTGAGCAATCCGAATGTGCTACGTTTATCAGCTTTCAATTTAAACAATTTTCTTTCAGTGGTTAGGAAATTTGGTGACAATGAAATGGTGGGATAACTTGTGGCTGAACGAAGGATTCGCAACATTTTTCGAATACATCGGAGTACAGTTATTGCATCCTGAGTGGAAAGTAGTACGTTGAGTGTTTTCTTTGAGAATTTTATCAGTTCAATGTTTCATCTTGCACAAGTCGCTTGTCATTTCAGAAATTGTTTTCATATAACGTGTACATGCTGCATAGAAGCGGGTATTTATAGACGAAGTTTTGCATTGCTCAACTCCACACACACAGAATGCTTAGCAAATTACATATATTCCTAAAATTTAAGATTTATTAGAACTCTATTTCATTCATCCAAAATGGTAATTTGACTTTAATTCAATTAGTTGGAATTGTTCGAATTCACTCTGTAATAAGAAGGAAGAATTTAATCAGTTTCCAGATGGCGCTTGAAGAATTCACAAATACTGAGATAATTAATGACCCTTCACTAAATAATAGCGAATGTTTGAACAAATTAATTACACATTATGATTATATTCTGGATAATATTGTTATCGATAAAGATGATTTTTTTTCTTCGATGAATAGGATGAACTATTCATACTGGATGAATTGATGCTTGCACTTGATATTGATACTATGATGTTATCAAGACCAGTCATTTATCCGGCTAATACTGCAATACGAATTATAACCATGTTTGATTTAATCACCTATGATAAGGTCAGTTGTGTATTGGCTGTTGATTTTCATCAAATGTTGTATTTAAATTTTTCATTCTATTTTAATGATCGTCAAAGAAATCATGATATCAAGCAGAAGAATGATATTTCTCTCAACGAGTAACTTTAAGTGTTAAATGTGTTCCAATGTTCTAATACAATGGCATTTGAATAATGATATGTTTTCCGTCATGTCAACCTTAATAAAAGCACTATTAGTAGACTGAGGCAACAGATCGGATTTTCATAGTTGAATCCAAGAGTCGATCCGAGCTCGACCACCATCGAAAACCTGAAAGACCTACTGAGGATTTCTATACTAGGACCAACCGACCATCCAGTGCCCACAGGTATTCACTAGTGATTTAACTTGAGTCGACTCATGAGTTCAACTGTAAAAATACTACAATCTTCTCAAATCTCCACACTCCTGAATTCAGATATCAATCTAACCACGATGAACATGACTATTACTACATTGTTCATTTCAAGATGAACATAACCTTCGAATTTCAAACTATAAATCCGTATAGCATTTTAATGTATATTTATGTAAATAACGTGCTTGAATAAGCTGAAATGAATTCGGTGAACAAGTGAAACAATAAACGAACTCAAACAGATAGTGATATCTTGACTGTGGGAAATATCATCAGCTATTCCGCCTGTAGCTCTTCTAGAGTTACTGCCGTTCCCAAGCCCGTGTAAGGTAGGAGGGTTTCATGGGGTTAGCGTCCCCATCCCGTAGAAAACTAACTCGCTATAAAATCGCTTACCAGAAAAAATAATCCAAACCATTTCAACTCTGCCCTGGGAGTAAGAAGGTCTTCATTTAGAAGAATTATGACGATTCATGGTGAAAGCCAAGTTCCTTCGGAAGCCGTGAGGCCGATGCCCCTTCTAACAACCAGAGCAAAATTGTTTGTGGGTACATGGAACGTTCGAACAATGTGGGAAACCGGGAAGACCAGTCAAATATCAATGGAAATGAGGAGATACAACTTAGCAGTACTGGGAATCAGCGAAACCCACTACACCCAAGCTGGACAGAAAAACGCTAGCTACGGGAGAGATGCTGCTATACTCCGGTCACGAAGAGGAAAATTGCTCCACACACTCAGGGAGTCGCTCTTATGCTGTCCAAAGTAGCACGAAATGCACTTGTAGGATGGGAAACTCACGGATCCAGAATCATCAAAGCATCATTCAAAACAAAGAAGGAGGGAATCACGATGAATTTTATCCAATGTTATGCACCCACCAATGATAGCAACGACGACATTAGAGATCAATTCTACGAGCGGCTACAGTCAATCATAGAGGAATGCCCAAGGAAGGACCTAACTATTCTGATGGGAGATCTAAATGCCAAAGTCGGAATAGACAACACTGGATATGAAGATATTATGGAACGACATGGATTGGGAGAAAGAAACGAAAATGGAGAAACATTTGCAAATCTATGTGCATTCAACAAATTGTTCATAGGAGGCACGATATTTCCGCACAAGCGTATACACAAGGCTACATGAATCTCACCGGACCACACTACGGAGAACCAAATAGATCATATTTGCATCAAAAAAAATTCCGAAGGACAATGGGAGATGTGGAAACTAGGAGAGGAGCTGATATAGCTTCAGATTATCACACCACTTAGTTGTAGCCAATTTAAAACTGAAGCTAAAAAAGAACTGGACAACTGGACAAACAGCATTACAAAGGTTCAATACAGCCTTCCTTCGAGATACTGACAAACTGAATGAATTCAAGATAGCTCTCAACAACAGGTTCCAAGCCTTACAAGATCTACTGAAGGAAGAACAAACTACTATGGAGGAAAACTGGAAAGGCATCAAAGAAGCATTAACTTCAACGTGTCAAGAGGTTCTGGGTCTAAAGAAACACCATCATATGGAGTCGATCTCTATAGAAACTCTGGACAAGATCAAAGAAGGGAAGAACAAGAAGGCAGCAACTAACAACAGCCGAACACGAGCACAGAAAGTCCAGGCACAAGCTGAATACATAGAAGCAAACAAGCAAGTGAAGAGGAGCATTAGAACCGACAAGCAGAAATGCGTGGAAGAACTAGCAAAGACGGCAGAAAAGGCTGCAAAAGAAGGAAGCATGAAACAGCTTTACGATACTACGAAGAAACTATCAGGAAAATACAGTAAACCAGATAGGCCGGTCAAATACAAAGCAGGCAAGACAATCACTGAAATTGAACAACAGCGGAACAGACGAGTAGAATACTTCGAGGAACTCCTGAATAGGCCGGTTCCAATGAATCCACCGGACATCGAAGCAGCACACACAGATATTCCCATAGACGTCAACCCACCAACGAAGGAAGAAATCAGAATGGCCATCAGACAAATCAAGAACGGGAAAGCAGCGGGACCGGACAACATACCAGCTGAAGCACTGAAGTCAGACATCGAAGTAACTACAAACATGCTTTATCTTCTATTCAAAAGGATTTGGGGGAGGAACAATTGCCGATGGACTGGAAAGAAGGGCACCTCGTCAAGATTCCAAAGAAAGGAGATCTGAGCAAATGTGAAAACTACAGAGGCATTACACTACTGTCAATACCAGGGAAAGTCTTCAACAGAGTGTTGCTGAACCGGATGAAGGATGCAGTAGACGCCCAACTTCGAGATCAACAAGCTGGATTCCGTAAGGATCGGTCGTGCACAGACCAAATTGCAACACTACGGATCATCGTCGAACAATCAGTTAAGTGGAACTCATCACTATACATCAACTTCATTGATTATGGAAAGGCATTCGACAGTGTAGATAGGAGGACATTATGGAAACTTCTTCGACACTAAGGAGTTCCTGAGAAGATTGTCAATATTATCCGGAACTCATATGACGGACTACAGTGCAAAGTAGTGCATAGAGGACAGCTGACAGATTCATTCCAAGTAAGGACCGGAGTCAGACAAGGCTGTTTACTCTCTCCCTTCCTCTTTCTTCTGGTGGTCGACTGGATTATGAGGAGTCAGTCAGTCAGCTACAACGTAGGACCAGGCACATTTATGCATCGGTCCAATTTTCCATACCTCATTAACACAACAAGATGGACACCGGATTTGATTATGAAGACCTCGACATCTGAGGGAAAACAAGGAATACAATGCACAGCTCAGAATCAATTAGACGATTTGGACTTCTCAGATGACCTGGCCCTCCTATCGCATACACATGAACAAATGGAGATAAAGACAGCCAGTGTGGCAGCAGTCTATGCATCAGTAGGCCTCAGCATACACAAAGGGAAAACCAAGGTCCTCAAATTCAAAGCGGAGAACAGCGATCCAATCACTCTTGATGGCGAAACTCTGGGAGATGTAGAATCCTTCACATACCTGGGAAGCATCATCGATGAACAAGGAGGATCAGATGCAGACGTAAATGCAAGGATTGGCAAAGCAAGTACAGCATTCCCACAGTTGCAGAACATATGGAACTCGAAACAACTTTCAACCAATATCAAAGTGAGAATCTTCAATACGAACGTCAAGACAATTCTACTGTATGGAGCTGAAACTTGGAAACTACAACAACCACAATCAAGAAAGTACAAGTATTTATAAATAGCTGTCTTCGCAAGATACTCAACATCGATTGGCCGGATACCGTCAGCAATAGCCTTCTGTGGGAGAGAACAAACCAACTTCCAGCTGAAGAAGAAATTAGGAAAAGACGCTGGAAATGGATAGGACATACATTACGCAAATCATCAAACTGCATCACGAGGCAAGCCCTAACCTGGGATCCTAAAGGTGAGCGGAAAAGAGGAAGGTCAAAGAACATATTACGTTGGGAAATCAAAGCAGATATGAAAAGTATGAATAATGACTGGAAGGAGCTGGAAAGGATTGCCCAGGACAGGGTTGGATGGAGAATTCTGGTGAGCAGCCTATGCTCCTTCACGAGAAGTAACAGGCGTAAGTAAGTAAGTAAGTAAGTCATAAGTAATGCTGTGGCAGTGACTGATGTATTCGAATATTTGAGTACACTCTTGACATTCGAAATCATGAAGTTCATTATTCTCTCATATTTGCAATTAATAGAATTGTGTATGTTTTACGATGGTTACACAACAAAATTTCAGTGATGTTTAAACTTGAACTTTATATCTAGGTTAAGACTACGAAAACCAGTTTTTTATTTACACGATAGAAAACAGTCACCACCTGAATGATTGCATAACATTTGTTAGGCCAAGTAAGTGAAACGACTTCCAATTCAGTATTATGAAACAATCTACACGTGATTATAATTCTCCAACGTTCTTACGTGAATCAACCAAACCATAGTACACGTAATCTTTCACTTTGTGTGAATCCATTATAATGCGATAGTATTCAGTGTTCAACCACGTGACATTTTCTATTCAAAAACAATAATATTCCTAAGTGTATCTTCACTTTGTTGCATCCTATCTTCGACTGGAAACAAGTTAACTGATTGACTAATCTAACTTACCTACACATTCATTGCTTGTTTCATATATATGTTAATATTCTACATTGCATTCGATAATTCACAGGGTGCCTCTTTGGTTTGGATGATGGAGAAATTCATGGGCCGTAGTGCGTTTCAAAACGGTTTAAAAGTACGTTGACAGTGGTTATTTTGTTGTAACTGAGGGTCATATAATCTAGTCTCAACGGTCACATTCAATAGTGAACTGATTTCTTTTCGTTGACTAAGTATTTTCAAAGTTCTCTTCGGGACTTTCTAATACAGATAGTCCTCATATCATTTGCTTAGCTATTACTCAGTACTACGTAACTTAACAGAACCCAGTACTGATTGATCACCACAGTCATCAACACAAGTACTCCTTGAACCGCTATAACACGTTTTTATCATCTGGCACTCTACTTAATAAAAAGCTTGAACTCGTATGTCGTCATGAACAAATGGAAAATGCTTTTAAAATTAAATGTTGTCTGACCAACTCATAATCCATATTCACTGTAACTAAATTAGTGAGATATTTTATATCAAGTCGATGTATATGTCGTTACAAACAAATTATGTTAAACAGACTTCACTCACCATTATATCTGATAGATCGTTGGTTGAAATTGTATCCCACCTAATTATGTACAGTATATCTGTCACGATCTGTCATCAGTTGCACTAATGTGAGTGAATATTTTTGAATATAAAATCGGTTTGGAAAATACAAAATTTATTTTGGAGTACTTTTATCGTGATCATTTCAAAAGTTTGGTGTTAATAATGGTAAGAGAGATCAGTGTATGTGACATTTTGAAGGACACTTGTCGAACGATCATCCATTAAATCGTTGTGTTTATTCTCTATTCATATATAGTCACTGAATTGCTGCTTGATATTTTATTCATAAACATATATAAATATATATATAGCTTGATCTTAATTTTACTGAAAAGTGTCCATTGGCTGAACTTCTCGTTTTTAATGCTCTAACAGCCATGTGAAAGGGATATTAGTAGCTGATTTGTGGATTTTAGATGGTAAAGTTTGGTTATTCCTATGACGTTCACCAACCTCACTTCAGAATGAAACTTATTATGATTGTGGGTGGTATTCTAAAAGAAAGCAGAAACACTACACTGAACTGTAATGTTTGCTGTCTAGGCTTAAATCCTATGATTGAATTCATGATAACTTGCAAATTGAAATCCGGAAATGTCTTGTATAATACGTTTTTCTGTATTTATTTAAGAGATATTTAATTCAAAACCAATATAAGAACACAGATGAAAAGGATTTATGGAAGGCATTATCTGAAGTAAGCATATGGTGATTATTACATTATTACAAAAACATTTTGTGTAATGCATTTTGTTGTTGATTTCGTTTCATAATTTCTCCTGATCGTCACGCATTTTGTTATTACTGAACAGAATAGTCGCCTTGAAATATGCTTCAAAAGTTTCAGTTTCAGTTTCAGTTTGGGAAGGACAGGAGGCCTGGTGGCCTGTGTTAGTCCTGGCAATGGTGGTCTCTCAGTTGATCCAACTTTCTTTTGAAAGAATCGACGGATGGAGCCTCAACCACGTGTTGAGGTAATGAGTTCCACTCGTTGATGATTCGATGGGAAAGGCGACAGTCAGCTGACAAGTAATTTGTTCTTGGCTTGTGGACTTTTTTGAAGTGTCCTCGTAAATTCTCTGTTTTGGAAGACAATAAAAATGAGGGCATATCAGGTGCAAATTTGGCACTAAGCAATTTGAAAACTGTAATCAAGTCGCCTCTAGTTCTGCGATATGACAACGGGAAAAGGTTCAGGTTGGCCAGTCGAGCTTCATATGGAAGCTTCGCTATTCCGGGAATCAGCTCAGTTGCCGTTCTCTGAACCTTTTCCAGAAGCTCACTGTCTTTTTTTAAGCAGGGGCTGGCCGCTTGCATGCAGTACTCAAGTTTAGGACGTATGAACACTGTATATAAAGTCAAAAACGTCTTAGTGTCGACGTGACTAAAAGCCCTACGTATTGACCATAACGTTCTAAAACCTATGGTGGTTATTACACGGCAGTTTGCAATAGTCTTTAAGTCTTGGCTAACGATGACATAAGTTATTGTGTGTCTGGACAACAGGTAGCTCAGTGTTATTCATCGTGTATTTATCTGTACCTTGATGACCGATATTCATCACAACATACTTGGAAGTATTTATCGGCAACTGCCAGGTTTGAGACCATTCGGATAACTTCTTCAGGTCATTTTGAAGTTCTAAGCTATCACTCTTACATCGTATCGTTCTCCATATCTTGACATCGTCAGCATATAGCAAGACCGATGATGATAGGAGACAAGGAAGGTCATTTACATACAAGAGGAATAGCACTGGCCCCAAAACTGTACCCTGAGGCACTCCACTAATCACAGTTTGCCAGCTAGATAACTTTGAGTTCACCCGAACTCTTTGTTGACGCCAAACTAGGAAGTCTTTTATCCACATAAATAGATTGCCTTCAATCCCGACATTTCTTAACTTATATAACAGCCGGTTGTGCGGAACCTTGTCAAAAGCTTTGCTGAAATCAATGAAGGCTACGTCTACAGGTGACTTTTGGTCCTTAAAAGCGCACCAGCTTTCACGAGCCACTAATAAGTTAGTGAGACAAGCGTAACCTATTTTGAAACCGTGCTGCTTCTCCGAAAGGATCCGGTTTTTATCGAGATACTTAAACAACTCCTTCTGAATAATATTTTCTAAGATTTTAAAAACCACACTAGTTAGGCTAACGGGGCGGTAATTCTCAGGTTTGTGTTTCGTACCTGTTTTGAAGACAGGACTTACTATGGCATTTTTCCAGTCTTTGGGTAAACGAACCTGCGTTACGAATAGGTTAAAGCATATACTTAAAGGGTTCTCAACGAAGTTAGATAATTCCTTCAGTAGCTAAGAATGTAATTCATCGGGCCTCGTGGATTTACCTATGTCAAGCTTATTTAGTAGACCAAAGACATCAAGTCCTTTAATGGTCACGCTATCCAATGTATGTGTGGGGGGATCTGTATGCGCTGATGGGAATGGTGCTTCTATGGTGTATACATTGCTGAAGTAGTTTGAGAACACTTGAGCCTTACCAAAGTGACGCGGCAGTACTGTCTCCCCATAGAGCAAGAATATTTCCTCTTCTCTTTGTCCTTTGGTTTATATAAGAATACAAGCGTTTAGGACATTCTATGAATTCCTTAACAATCTTTTCTTTGTACAACTTTCTAGACTTACGGAGGGTCGAGGTACAGGTATTCCGGACTTTTCTATACTGAGATTTAGTTTCTTCAGTTCTCAGTAACCTAACTCTATCCCACATTTTTCTCCTCTTACGGAGAAGGATGCGAACCTCCCTACTGAACCATAGTGGGGAGTTTCTCGGCCCCCTTAGTATAGTCCAAGGGATGTGGGGTGTGGTAACTTTTAAGTATGAATTTCGAAATGCGTCCCAGGCCGTTTCAAATGAGGACTCTGGGTCTATTGTCCAATCTACTAACGATGCTGAGTGCATGGTATCTGGTATATTTGCTTTCCAGATGTTAGGTCTGGATTGGACTGACGCGTGCTCGTGACTGACAGTTATATGGAAGTCGAAAATTAAAACTGCGTGATCAGTCTTACCTAGGAGTGGCATATAATGAAGGTTAGCAACGTCATCCTCATAGTGAGTGAGTATCAGATCTAGTAAGGATGATTCAGTATCCGTATAGTACCTAGTCGCTTCTTTCACATGTTGCACTAAAGCACATGTGATAACCGCATCAACTAGTTCCTGCTCGAAAGAATTTTCTGACGATTCAGTTCGCAGATTTTCCAAGTCTACCATAGGTGCAATAAAGTCCATTAGGATTAGACAACGACCACTTTGTGACCAAGTATTGAGACTGCTTAGCAGGACTTCATTTACCTCACAGCATGGACTGCGTTAAACCAAACCAATCAGCAGCTCTTGTCCCTTGCATTTCAAGCGGCAACTAACTAATTCACAAGTTCCACTCTCATGGGATACACTGTGGATAATGGCAAATGGGATAGCATTCCTAATGAATAGAGCTACTCCCCCTTCTTTGCGCTTTTGTGTCCTGTCGGCCCTTACTAACGTAAAACCCTCGAAAACAAGTTCCATACTATCTATAGCCTGTGTCAGCCAGGTTTCTGTAACTGCGATTATGTCTTGCTTTGTAGTGTCAATCTGTACACCTAGTTCCGATCGCTTATTAAGTAAGCTCCAGGCATTTGTGTAGCAGATCCGAAGCCTATTTAAGTGGCTTCGTGCTTCACCCAGAGTGGCTTCGGCATTATTCTCTGTCGAAGCCTCATAACCCGAGAATTTACAATTTTTAGGTCCTTTTCGCCAGCGTCTAACCTAAGTTGTAGTTCTTTTTCGGCTTACCGCCTTTTTACACGGTCTGCCAACGGTAAGTCCTTTGGTATGAAGACTCCTGAATCCTTTAATTTCTGTCTATTCTGTAAAATTAGGTCACGTTCGTTCGAAGAGCTGAGTACTACTTTAAGCAGTCTGGAATGATTTGGTTTCGAGTCCGCTAGACTCCCTAGTCTGTACACCTTTAGCAAGGTGACCTCGGTGATATTCTGAAGCATGAGTTCATTAAGCAACTGCTTAATCAGCACAATGTCATACTCAAAACGAGCTTTAGGTTCAGAGCTCTCGTTCTCCCTGATTCTATAAAAAATAGCTGATTTGTCTCTATGATCAGCTTTCGATTTTTCAACTACTTTTACGGAAACAGGGTTCCGTTTTATATCCCTACTTTTCTTCCTTACAACCTTTACCCATTCGTCAACTGAGCTGGTCGAAGCAATAACAGTTGCGTCAAACCTAGTGTTGGATTTTGGGGGGTTGTCGACGACCTGAGAGGTCGGGTTATGTTTACCGCTTGAAACCGATCGAGCCTTGCGATTGCGGCTTCTAGGTGTTTCCTGTTGGACCCCATCTGGGAGACGGGGAACAGAAGAACCTACTTTCCTTGAGCTTTTGTTTAAGGCAGGCTCCTTTGGAGACTGCTTTTCCTTCTTTGACCGGCATGAGCCATTTACTATCGAACTAACCTTAGTTTGTCTCATGTCGATTTGTGTGTCGACAGATCGAGTGCTGTTTGACGTGTTCCGACTACACTTGCTTAAACACTTCTTTGCAGCATCAACCAGTGAGATGGCCTCGGTTAATAGGCTGTTTGCATCCGAACGACACTGTTGACAAAGCCATAAGCAACCCTTCTTACTGAACCGTCTGAAAGCCGCAGGCGTGCAAACTTCGTGGTACCAGTTTTTGCACTCGTTGCACCGCATTCCGCTTTTAACGGAATAACGACAACCCGGACGTTGGAAACTGCTTTTTTTACACTGTCCGGTCATTTAAAAGAAGTCCTTTTTAAAAAGGAACGAGATGCGATGATACTCAGAAACAAAAAATAATCGATGACCAAAACGCGAAGAACTGTAGATTGTTAGGACCAAAAGTACTAACAGATACAATTGAAAATGAGGTACTCAAAAGTACCAACGACAAAACTAATTGAGGGAACGGTAAAAACGTTACTCTAGTCGAATACTTTAACTGAAATGAATTCAATTAAAGTGAAAACAGTAGTCTTGATACGTAATAAACCATCAAAACAATGAAATTTACTCAGCGATGAAAAATTCCACTGTCCTTTTTAAATAGCGCGCGAATTATTATGGTATCATCAGATCAATAATTTCGTGATTCATATTGCTATGTACTATCTGTTCGCACACACTGTTCCTACTTATTCTTTGATGTTATTCTGAAAAAACACTAGACTCCATGTTAGTAGTTGTTGGAGTTTCATCCATTGACTCACTCCATCGATTGGAATTACAGTGGTAGAACCTCAATAATCAGTTTGTGTACGTGATCATGCTTGAGCATGCTGCAATAAATTATTCATCGGCCTACTACATTCCCAATAAATGAACTTATAGTGAATGGTCTTAAACAATGAGTGAATTTAACTGTATTTCACTCAAATATATCCACCACTATTTTTGAAACACGCCGCAGATCATTGAAACACAAAAACTTTTGCAATACTGTAATATTATTTATCAAAAGTATGAGGCCAATAACCTAATCAAAATTTCGTTTTAATTGCATATCAGGAATGGAATACCCAAGTAAATTATTTGGACATTGGATTTATTATGGATTCTTGGACTAAACAAAGTAATTATCCACTAGTGATTGTAAAGAGAAATGGGTCGAATGTGTTCAGTTTTGAGCAGATACGTTACTTTCAACCCTATGGTAACAAGTCATCTCAAACAAATCGAGAGTAAGTGGACCATATATTAATTTAGACAACATCCGTATTCAGAGATTATATAGGAAGAAAAGTGAGCTTGTAATATATGCAACATTTGTTATGGTGTTGCGTGGTACTGGTGTCGATAGATATAATTAGGACGTACCATCAAGTGAAAGTGAATGCCTGGGGGCGGAATGTTACCAAGATCGAAGCGAAGAGAAGGTGAACAGAGAATGATTAGTGTGGAAATGAAGAAATAATGAAGTTTGAGACAATTGATTGACGGTTCGCAAATGAATTATTTGCTGTATTACTCTCACTACATTTTCAATAGGTTATCTTAAATCATTGCCATTTACCAATTTATATGACGAGATAAAAAGGCGAAATGAAGTTTGACTCATTGCGATTTTCAACCAACATATCTTCCGTTTCTTAATAGGTGTATTATTGTTTTAATTTTCCAGTGTGATATTTTATTCCCTGTAACAATAATTTATTTCAGCATGGTGTTCATTCAAGATACGATATACTCGTATTAAATTAAAATAACCTCTGCTCAACATGAAATGTAGTATGTGTTTTGTTGAAATTCTCTGTGTTTTTCGTTCATGTGATTTTATTCCAATCGTCAAACGAAATGGGCGTACGATCAATGTATGGTGAATGTCATTTCGACTACGATCGTTGTTATATTTTCGGTTTAATTGATCTTTGAGTTCGCCGATCTCGGTGTTTGTAATTCGTGTCGTAAAAAATGCAGTGGCCTCTCGTTTTCTTAAGCATTCGGTAACACGGATATAACGATTGTGTATGAAGGTTTCGGAAAAGTGACAGTTATTGCGGAAACCTTCATGTACCTGGACATAATCATCGATAATCAAAGAGGGCTTGATGCAGACATTTGGGCGAGAGTTGGTGAAATAAGGACTGCGTTCTTATAGTTGAAGTAAATATAGGACTCCAAACAAATGTATGTAAGCAAACATCATGGTCAGAATGTTGAATACAAACGTCGATATAGTTCTGTTGTACTGAGCGGCGACGTGTAGAACTACTAAAACCATCATCAAAAATGTACAAGCATTTGTGAACAATAGTCTGCACAAGATACTCACTGTCCGTTGACCGGATACAATCAGCAACAGTTTACATTGTGAGACTACAAACCATCATTCAAATGGAGAGGAAATTAGAGACAAGATTTTGGAGGTGCATAGGACATACTTTGTAATAGATTAAACTAATGGATATTCCTATCTACTTACATTTGAAATCCAACTTGACCTCTATCGATCAACTAGCATTATCAACATGTGTTTTGTTATGGTACTCGATCAAACTGCCTGTTTTTGATTATTATATTTATAGTTTGCTAGCTTTGAATGTTCATTATTATACGCTTTGCTTCATTCAGATACTCCTGGAGAATACCAATCACTTATGGGTCAGAACAAACGGTGAACTGGACAAATATCGATATTGTGTGGATGGTGAAAAGTAAGAAATACTATTCTACTATTCTACTATTTTGCCGTTTGCATTAGTATAAATGATTATTATGCTTCACATACCTGCACATACTTCGCGTCACATTTTGAGGCTAGATAGTCGGTTTGACGAGCCTTCCTTGACAATGAGAACATGGTTGTCCTATCCAACACGTGTAGTACTAATTTATACTGAGTCATGTTTCTAACCTTACATAGAAGAAAACGTTCATCGTCCCTTCAATATTAAATTGATGAGGTGAAAATAATTACTTAAATTCCACGCATTCATTCAGCTTTAACTGTTTAAATCATAATAATAATATAATAAAATTATAAGTAATGTTAAAATATTAGTGACTTATTTGGTTATTCCTCAATTACGCAAGACAAAATGAATCAAACAATGAACATAAGCCCAGACGACTGGTATTTGGTGAATGTAAACCAAGGCGGATTTTATCGTGTTCACTACGCTGACAATAACTGGATCTTATTAATCAATCAATTGCAAAGGAATTTCACGGTTTGTTCAAAACACTTGCGTTTCTCTCTGTTATAAATAACTATTCTATCAAATATTTTAAATATAATCTTGTAAGAACGTGAAATTTGATGAATAAGCATAATTATGATGATAAATTTTGTAGAATGTGATAAACGATACAAAATATTGTAATATAAACTAGCGAGAATGGATCTTCGTTCATTGTGAATATCCAAATTTAATCATTGTCTTAAAATGAATTCATATGAAACACATCACATCTTAAGTCAGATGGCATGACCATTTACCAATGAAGCATACGAAGCCACATGTAAAATAACTTTTTGTCATTTGACATATGGACGCACTTTCGTAATTAGCTATTTAAATACTTACTTACCTACTTGATTGTTTACTCAAATGCTGACGTCTTAAATTAATTACTTACTTATATAATTGCACACATACTCAGAACAGCCTAGGCTGCCCACTAGGACTCTCCAAACTATTCTATCCTAGCCTCCTTTCCAATCGACGTCAATTGCTTCCAATTCTTTTGATATATGCCTTGAATTCTCGACACATGTTCATTGGTCTTCCTCTGTACTTCTTGTCTTCTGGATTCGGACTGATTGTCTCGAGATTCAGTCTGACGGTTAACACAACGCTTGTCGTACCCACCTCCAAAATCTCGTCGTGCTTTCATATTTAGATGGAAGTTCTTTTGTTTTCTGCTGCAGTGTGTTTCTGTTGATAATATCCGGTCGACCGATATTGAGTGTCTTGTTCTGACAACTGTTTATGAATACATGTAGCTTTTGATGATGACTATGGCAGTTCTGCGATTTTCAGCTCAGTAAACTAGAACCGTCTCGATGTTTGTATTGAGGATTCTATTGAGGATCTTGCTTATTCTCTTTATGAGTGTTGAGGCCTACTGCTGTAGAGGCTGCTGCTACACTGGCTGTCTTCACCTGGATTGTTTGTAAGCATGGATGAAAGAGTTGAGTCATCTACTGATATCATAATATCCAAGTGAATCAAGGCTGTCCAATTTGTTCTCTGCTTCTCCTGAGACGCGGTTGTATCCACATTTCAGTTGACTGATGGACGGAAGAGAAACAGCAATATTAGGAATCCTGCGGCCCAGCAACTCCAGGCGTGTCAAAGTTACTGCCTCATTTTCAGCTGTTCCCTATGATAGTTTCCTAGTGCCAGAGTGGAATTTCGAACCTTAAAATACATTAGTGAGATTCATTTTTGATTCGTTCAGGTTGTCTGCATCTACTAGAAATAGTGCATTGGATATTTCAGTGGTGTTTATACAGTTGCCCATCTTTACTTCGGCTTCAGTTTTATGAAGCCATGTCAACCACACTCTTTGTTATCACGTATAATGTATAGTGACGAGTTTCATTCAGTTGATTGTCCAACGTCTATCTGCAATCTTTGCGATTTCGTTTGCACACAAACGATCCCTATGAAAGAATTAAATCAACATGTCACTGGTTTTGTTAACCCGTAAGATTACGTACTGTTTAGAAGTTGAGTGGCAGGAATACGAAGTGAGAGGGAATACTATGTCATGCAATATTTACAGCAGGTCAAATGATGTAAGAATAAAGATGTATTAATGTATGTTAACAGTCAGACATATATGGAAGTAGTGTATGAATGAAAACATATCGAGACATGAATATGTACATCGAAATATATCGAATTTCGCTTTAGGCTGTTAATTCCTAATTTCAGCTTGTCATTTAGTGACGCAAACTAAGATGTGATCTTTTTGAAATCACATTTAATTTAGGGATTGTATTTTACATTGTGATTCAATGTTCTACAAGGTATTTCAATTTTTATGTAATTTTTTCATGTCTAGGCTATTCCAGTCTTTTCACGTGCACAAATATTGAATGATTTATTCAGTCTTGCAAAGTAAGTGTGAAGTGGAAAGAAACCAATTTCTTTTTGGGTTCATATTTATTCTGTTACAAAATATCAGGCTAGTTAATCACTTTGATTCCAAATACTGATTGAAAACACGTAAAAACAATTAGTATTCGACATTTCATACTATCTGATTGTACGGGAAATACGTTTTAGAACTTCGATATTATAATTGAATGCCACCCATAATATGAAATCGATTCTTTCAGAAATGCAAACTAACACAACAGTTTGCAAAAGAAGCAAAGCTGTTAGGGTATAACCTCAAAGAGTTAAAATACGCTATACACTATATGGTTTAAAACATCTGTCAACACCGTCGGTTGGTTACTCATTTAATATTGATTAAAAATATAACATGTCGGGTGAAATAATTACACAGACATATAAACGAAGAATACTCTTCTCAATAAATTTTCTTCATTTTCTACAATCACGAATCTAAACTAGTCATACGAAAAGTATGAAGGAAATTTTTCTTCCGACGGTATCATTTTCGGAAGCCGTGCAGTCGTATTTATAGGTAATTTATAAATGTAGTATTCTACGGTGAAATAGCGGGGTTTCAAATATTTGTCAAACATAGTCAAACTTATTCATGTGGAAGTCGAAGAAAGTAAATTGATTTTGTGTGATATAGAAAAGTTGTCACCTTATGTAATGGATTCTGAATTTATGACAGCTAATGATCCATAAAATAAATGTTAAGCATACCGGTCTACTTATTCAAGCAGGGGACGAATAAGGCATTAATAAGCACTTGCAAATTGCGAAATTCGAAGGGATGCTGAGATCATGAAAGAATAAAGCATTGAGCATGACTCTTGTGTACACAGAGTTCGAGTGTGAAATATTGAACTTCTATAGACCCGGTTGTGAACAAATTACTCAAACAAGTCTTTTTGAGCCTATTTTTCACTTTGCATTTAGCTCACAATTATCTATTTTGTTTTGCTTTGGCCTCCTTGCCAGTCAACATATCGTACCGTATACTCTTTTCTTGGACGCGACAAAATACCTAATCCGCGAAGATGAGTTTATTGTATGGATAACAGCTAGTCGAGCGCTGCTTTACATTAATAACGTGCTTGCTCTGAATGAGAATTATGAAGATTTCCAAGCATACTTGCGAACTCTTATCGATAACCGAATTCGATCAGCGAATTGGTCATTTGTTGGTAAAGGTCAAGATCTTCCAAAGATGTGAGTAGTAATATTTTCATTTCATATGTCTCCACTCTGCCATGTCACTGATATAGTCCCAGAAGACTTTTTGTTCGAAACATTCTGTATGTAAGACATTCAACAGAATATGATGAAATTGCCAGTATTGTTATCAGAAATGCTAATTAAAGCAAAACGTAGCCGAAAACAGATGAAATGTACGGTTTATGAGAGGGGTGAGATTCATCAACCGGTATTTGGAACGTCCGAACTATATTATCAAACTGGAACGGTAATGAATAAACGAATATAATGTTAAGTGATTGGTTAGTGTGCACTTCAATTTGTGTGCTCCTGTAATTAGAAACACACTATTGATGCGTGAACGAAGTCGTTAATTAACTGTAAATGGTGTAGTGTTGTAATATAGTTATCTGAAATCCATGTAGTATAAACGTTTGAATCGGATATTCAAAGTTGTACTTTTTCATTTCAAGTTTATTATAATGGAAACGGTAACAGTTCGCCGTTAAAATAAGGTAAAAAATTTATTTAATCAAAAACTACGGAAATCATCAGCTCGTCGATGTTGTACCAACTGGTGAGTTTAATGATATTCAATTTTTTCCAAAGAGATAACAAGACAGGTTTCGAGACAATGCAACATGTGGGAACATTTTTGACGTGAAAACATTGTTTCAGCTACAAAATCAGAGCAATCTCGAATACATTGGATAAACCGTTGTTCTCAATGAACATCTTCAGGCATCTCCGTGATATTTTATCTCTATCAACTATCTAAATAACGCAATGATAATAAAGGCGATAGTATAAACAAATAATTTATATATTTGTACATATTTACTAATATATAAAATAACTATTTTTCCAACCATTTACTCGATTTTAGACGTTTAGACTATAATGTGATCAAACTCGCTTGTATAGCTGAACATCAACTTTGTGTGAACAAAACTACGGATTTCTTCAGACGATGGATGTCGAAACCCGAAACGAACCCGTTAGTCGTGCAGTTTATGATTTTTATATGATAAGACAGACTAGCGTATAATAGACCTTTATATTATGTTTAATTTTATTTGAACTAATTTTTAAGATGCAGCTTAAAATAGATTGTTTGGTCAGTTTTTTGTTGCTATGGTCAAACACGAAAGTATGAATAGTTTGTCAATGTTATGGTTTCCCGAATGCAAAGAACTTGTAAGTCAGTGGACGTAGTGGGATAGCTGTAAAATTGATGCCTATGGTAGACGGATGGTGTGTGCTAACTGGATTTGTCGATCAGTCGACAATAACTCTCTTGTATTTGCGGAAATTCTTCGAATTAAGTGATTCGACCTTTTTGCACCATTCTGAACAACGCACTGCAGTTTATGCAGTTTAGAATGAGTCATTTACTAACTCCAAAATATCCAAGTGAATCGAGGCTGTCAAATGTATTCCGTGCTTCTCCTGAGATATGGCTGTTGTCACATTTCATTTGAATGCAGGGAGAAAGAGCAAGAGAATAAGTACTCAGCTTTCAGTTGCTATTCATCCATTTGTTCTCTGCCATGCATGAAATTGAATTGTGATCCGTAGTCTGGATTCCGTTTGATGCTGACAATCCTTCCAGTTACAGTATAATTTGAAGAGGGTTTGTATTGTTTCCTCTATCTTCAATGCCGAGCGCTTTTTCTTAATCAAGAAAGTTGTTTCTTAATGACGGATTCATTTTAACTAGTTGCTTTGGTTTGGGCTCACTAGCAGTATCACAGCCCTCACACATCAAGTGAGATTTGTGTGGCGCATATGTATTTGATGCCTCCTTGTACCGATATCAATGTGTTAAAATAAAATAAATGAATAAATAACGTTTATTGATCTAATGTATCGCGATTTCGTCTGTGCACAACCGATCGTTAAGAAACGTAGCCGGTTTACCTCAAAGTTGAGATATTCCACCGAATATAAGTTATGATTTTTGTTGTTTCATGGCCTTAACGAGATCGGTTATTCAGAGCAAATAATTGGACAGATATAATTTGACAAGCGTTCAAAGAGTACGGAATGATAGGTGAAATATTTGAGCGCAGGTTCTGCTATTCATATTAAGGTGCAAAACGTCCAAACCATGTTTTCATTTCACAGTACACCGTGAAACAAATTAAAGCATGCGAATTTGATCGTTCGGAATAATACAAATTGATTGTATGAATAAAATTCACATCCGGAATTGGTAGGAGATTTAAGTTATTATTATGTCCGAGCTATATTGATAAGCATATATTACTAACTTACTATGCTTATAAATGTATCTGAAAGTGTAATATATGAATGAACGCAACACAATAATCGTGCAGATTGAAATCGATTTGACGATCTTATACCAAGAAAGTTAATGAACTCTGAAAACGAAAGTAATGTTTTTGTTCGCGTTTGTTTTATTTTACAGCATACGACCTGATTTGAGAGACATTACTTATTGTACAGCTATTCGTCATGGTGGTCAAGAAGAATGGACATTTTTAGAACGTCAGCTGATATTGAATGAAACTGTGAATGAGATTGAGAATGCAAACAATATGCTGGCTTTAACCTGTTCTCGTGATAAAGAAATTATGATAAGGTAACTTATTCTGTTACGTTGAATATTTCACTGTCACATCTGTTAATGAAAACGGTAACCCGACTAGATGTTTGGAATCCCCATCCCTATCAGCTAATGAATATGGTCACAGAATCTAAATGCGTTTGTTATGATCGAAGATTTCTCAAAATTTGCATGATATTTTTGGAGAGTATGTGTGACAATGACTATGATTGAATAATTGGAAAGATATGTGTTTTTATATGAATATTTACCCAACTCACCCTCAAATGTAATAGAACATGGGACATGTTCTTAATTTATGGTTGAAAGTTCTTTAAACTATATCACTCACATTTTTGGACCGAGTCTATCATGTACCATCGAGTGAACACGACAAATTTGAACCACTGATTCAAACCTTAGTGGTTTACATTGTTGACTTCAGTTAATTCGCTTTCATATCATAATCGACTTAAATTTAACTCCATGTGGATATACTGAGATCAGTAGAATTTCACATGTGGATCAACAATTACCTCATGATTATCATCAAGATATAGCACTCACAAAATCTCTGAGTACACGAATGTTTAAAGTCAACTAGTACCCATCGATTAATACTGAACAAATTTTTCTCAATTCAACGATAACGTTCACTGACAAACAAAACCGACATCAATGGGACTACCGATATCAAGACTTATTACAAAGTGGTGATGTAACAACTGAAAGCTTCATATTTATCAGTAATCACACTGAGAATGTCGATTCGTTATTTGCGCGACACATTCGTCATCATCGAGAACATGGAGTTTAAAATACGACATCCTCGAAGGGATAGAATTCACAATGAAAAGAGAAGGAATCGTCGTCAAGACCAGTCATTTTGGCTACAAATCTCATCGACCATACCTTAGTCCTGGCCCTCATATCCTTTTATTCTACAGATGTAAATGTTCATATGATTAAATTAGCACACCACACCTACTCAGCTAATTATTTCCTTCATCTTTTCATCAGGTACTTAGAGCGGGTAAGAGAGAACGAGAACTTGTGGTTCACGCTTGACTATTTCGCGAAGTCTCCAGTTGGTAATCAAATTTTATGGGACCACCTGAGTGATGTAAATAATTTTATTAAACATAAGTGAGTTTAAATTTCTATTGACAGTGAGGAACTGATGTCATATTAATGTCATGAGGTTGGTGGTGCTTGTTGACTTCAGACGTTCGCGATTTGCTTGTGAAGTCGAATGGTATACATTATATGTAGGGGATTGATTGAATACGAATACCTTGAAATGTCAGTTTGCAATAAAGGAGATTTTGTAGACCTATTTCATTCATGCTTTCGCATATGAGAAATTCTATCAAATATATCAACATTTTGATGAACATAGTAATTTATCTCATACAAATTTTCCAGCAAATGTAATTTTAATCTGATTAACATATCAATAAACAGTTAGTACAAGGACTATTATATTACCTTAAATAACTCATATTTGTGCTATTTAGGTTTTGGATGTTTTAGTTCTCGATTTTTAAGCTCAGTAGAATGCAACTGTCTTGACGTTCGTATTGAAGATTCTGAATTTGATGTTGGTTTTATCTGATGACCACCCTGATTTGTTCGATGGTTGGTGGAGTGACATCTGGGTCTGGCCTAATTAATAGTTACTCAAATTGTTCTGCTCATCTAATTCTCTGTTCTTCAACCTCGGTGAATTCTTGCCTTTTTGTGCCTGACTGGTCTCTCTGCCTTCGTACATTTTCTTGCCACCATCGTCGAGTCATGTGCCTGTTTTTCGTTTCCTTTCAGGCAAATTTAACTTGGTGTATGCATTTGTGTGAGAATATTGTGCCGCTATATCCAATTTTTTGAATGCACATGGACGTGCAAATCTCTCATTATTTGTGTTCATTCATCTTAGTCCATGTCGTCTCACTATATCTTCGTATCCTTTGTTATGCACTCCGACTTTCGTGTTTAGATCACTTGTCAGTATGATCAGGTCCTTTCCTGAGCACTTAGTCATGATCGATTGCAGCCTCCTGTAGGACTGATCTTTATTATCGTCGTTGCTTCAGTCGGTGTGTGCACAACACAGGATAAAATTGATTGTACTTCTCACCTTCTTTGTTTCGAATAATGCTTTGATTTGCTTGGTCTATGAAATTGCCTCCCCATTGGTGTGCATATTTGGACAGCATCAGAGCAGCTCCTTGAGTGTGCGGAGCATTTTCCTCTTCATTAGTTGAATATGAGTATTGTCTTGTTAGCACTTCCAAGTACTCAGTCATTTGTCTATGGATATTCTTGATGGAAAATAACCACATTAATTTCGTATTTCGCTCTCTACTTTTGTTTCACAGAGACTTCACGGAATCCATACTAACCGCACTAACTAAATATCCTTACTCATCGTATATTGGAAGGAATTATGAAAAGGTTAGTGAAGAGCCTGTTTATTTTCCGTCGCTTGACAAGTGTTACTTTGTTTCGTCCCATATTCTGCGATTTAATTTTCCGAATGTGATCATTTAGACAAATCTGATCATGTTCGGTAGCACAAACACCATTGATCGTAAACAGTTTCAATGAAGTGAAACTGAATAAAATGAAAACAGTTGAATTCATCAACTACGCATTTCTGCAATTTACGGTTCTTGACAATGTTCTTTTATAATAAACCAAACACTCATTATTTTGCTATATAACTGATTGACGTCCACTATTTTTCATCTCAAATTTAAACTGTCAAGTTTATGAACTGGCTCCATATGAATTGTACATGAAATGACATTTTTCTCTTTACAGATCCTCCTAACAGAAGCTAATAATCGAATAGACCCAGAATTTCGAGAAAAGCTCAAATATTTATTCGAGATATCCAGTGAAAAACCGAAGTGGACTGAAGCATATTCTGCCATTATTCAGTGGTTGAAAGAAAATGTCCCAATTGTTACCCATTCATTATAGATCAGTACTGTTGGTGAAGATCGACCGATTGTTCAAGCATAAACGATACGAGATAATACTTTCGACTTCCGTCATTGTTAGCATTAGTATCTTTTTATTCTATCAAGCCTTAGAACATCTATATGTTACTCCATATTCACACCAGCACTTTGAATGATTGCTTGTAGTAACTCGTAGTAACGTTTACTGGATATTTGTATTTATTCATACAACACTGACGTTACAATAATTTTGTTGTGTGTTTTGATTCAAAATATTCAATATACAGAGTGTCAAATAAAATACGTTGAGTATGAACAAAATGGTCTTTGTTAATCAACAAAATATTGTTCTCTTAAGGCATATAAAACGTGATTCAAGCTGTGTAAAATCATTTGTTGAATTTCAACCCAAGCAAATCACTTCAAGAACAGTGAAACTCGACGCATTTAAAAAATAAATCTAATAACTAATTCATAGATACAAATTAAATCAAACCATCCAATCAATTTTCTAATACATGATGTTGAAGTTTATAATCTCATATCAAATCGCATCCGCTTCCTGACCAGTTATTCCAATTTCCTAAAACCCGTATGTCGATGGCGCTGCAGCATTAATTCAGATATTTTTAGGCAAATACAAATGATCGGTATTAAATCCGTGAAAGTAATCAAATGTTTCACCATTACAAACTTCTAGGGTCTTGACTGTGTCAGGTCTATCGAAGCGTGGAGGTCACCCAATTGTGATACGTGCAAAACCGAAGTTCGCAGAACAAAGATTTGTCTACAATGGCGGTTCTTTATTGAGTAATACACAAACATTAGTTACAAACCACATTTTGTGTATTTTGTATAAAATAAAAAGGCTTCGGTAGTACAAACGACAGCTGATAGATTTGTCTAAATTTGGTAAGTTTATCAACATATGAAAGCCGAAACGATAGAGAAACAATTTGGAAACTGTTGCGTTAGAACAAATGCACAAAACTGCAGATAACTGCAACAGTGATAAAGGTGAAGTCATTGTTATGATAAATGCAAAGGTAAATACAATAAACGTTATTATTGTATGTAAATATTTCAGAATAGTACACGACAACTTGCGATACAACGAAAGTGTAACTTTTACTGGGAATACAACTATTTACTGAATGTAAATAAGTAGTATAAAACAATACTCAAAAGAGTGAAAGAGAAGCGAGTAAGAACAATGTTAAAGAAACTCAACATTGCTGCCCAAGGACAGCATATCTTTCCTTACTATCACGGGTTAGATATTTAGTGTGGAAACAATCAGAGATAACAATGGTATAATTCACTTTAACCACAGTCATTCCGCAAAGTCATTCTACACTCTACTACTCAATCGACTGCTCAATCTAACGAGCAAACTTTACGTTTATCACTAGTGATTATACCTCTCAACGTTCTGGTCTTTGCTTGTCTGATGAGAGCATTTTCTCCTGAATCGACACGCACCGCTAGAACTTTAAACCAGTTAGTTCGTACATAAGTATATTCAATGATCAAGACCAGGTCGCCAGCTTAGATATCTCGACATTCTTGTGTCCACTTTGTTCGCGTCTGCAAGAGTAATAAATATTCCTTTATCCTACGACACCAAAATGTATTCACCAACGGGTGTGCTTATCACCATTGTCGAGAATAACGTTCGCGTAGGTTTATTTCGATGTGATGAAGATGAGGTATTCTTAACAACAGTGAGTTCTTGGGTGACCATGTTTCAAGATGTTCTGGGTCATGGCAAACTGATACCAAACGTATATCATTAAGTATTCGTTCTACTTCAGTCGTATAGGTGGTGATTGTCTCATAGGACAGAGTTTGTTCACTAGATACTGTGCTCAACGTTTTACGTACGCTTCTTATTAATCTTTCCCTTATTCCTCCACGACGACTTGCGTAGGGTGTGTAGTAGTGCCGTTCTATGTTCCGTTGAGTCATTTATTTAGCTGCTCTATTATCTTACATATCTGGTAATGGACGTTGTAAATCCTTCTCTAACCCAACGAATGTAAATCCTCTATCACAGCATACCGTCTTCGGCACCTCTCTGGGATTCGAATACTGCGACAACGCCATCAGAAAGGAATCGGTTGATAATGCGCAGACAACTTCTATATGAGTAGTCCGGGTGTTGAAACATGTAAGTAAGCAACCATAACACTTCCGGAACTCGCGCCCCTCTTTAATCATGGTCGGGCGGAAATGATCTACCCTATTGTTAGGAATGGAAATCGGGCGTTATTCTCGTGGATGGTAAGTCTCCCATCAGTTGTGACATTGGTCTGGCCGATTTAATCCGACGTCCTATGCATCTATGTACAACTCTCTTGATTGCAGCAGTGCTCTTTAAAATCACTATCTTTTATATAAAGTGGCTAATTTGTGGTACACCCACATATGTCATTCAGCTTGATGATGATGTTGGATAACGAGTTCAGTTATAGGGTGCTTACTAGGAAGAATAATCGTGTGCTTCTGCTACATCAGGAGGTCGCTGCTTTTCAAACGTAGTCCCACATGAATCAGGTTGTCAATTAATAACATAATTCTTGGAAGTGATACTGTCTGAATGTTTGTGCCGCTTTATCCAGTGACTAACTTCCACGAATTTCAATAAGTCCTCGGCATTGTCCAATACATTAGGCGAAAGAGGTGCGCTACCCATAGCTTTCTTGTGGAGATAACGTTTGAATCTAGTGAGCCAAGCTAAGCATTGTTTGAGTTTGGTTCATGACGAAAAATACGATATAAATATATCAAAAAGAAAAATTATATTCTTATTAGTCAAGGCTGTGGCGTTGTTTATCTTTAGATCGACAGGAAACCCTAATATCTCATTTCCTTTATACTCAGGCCGCCTATTCCTTTCGGTTACTGAGAATTCAGGTTTTGAAAGCCGAGTTTCAGTTCAGTTAGAATCTTGCCTACACATTCCTCTAGAAGCTAAATCAGAAAGATTAATTGTTTATGACACACACTTCCATTGTGTTGACCTGGTTTATTTGTGAATGAAGTTAGTGTTATTAGCTACATATGTCTTGAAGCGTGACGTTGTGTTAAGTGTGTAGTTTATTACTATCGTGGAGTCAATGCAGAAGTAGATTTCAGTCAGGTCTTTCAGTTTTATTTCTTCCAATATTTGCCTCATCGATTTCACTGACAGTACTGCGGCTTGCAGCTCAAGGAGTGGAACACTAGCAAATTTTAGAGGAGTTATTTTAGATTTTCCCAAGATGGTAGAAGCTTCATCTCGTTACAATTGCATTGAATTGCAATCTCATATAAGCCACGGCTCCATAACTGTTTTCTGAAGCATCTGAAAGCAGATGTAACGAGATCTGTACTGAATCCGATGACTCAATATTCAAACATCGTGGTGTCCTTAGGGCTCTGACACCTGAAATCCCTTCTCACCAAGTTCCCCAACTTGATTGCAACTCCTCATCAATCATCTCATCCCATCCGTAGTTTTTACGTAAAAATAGCTGTTGCAGAATTCAATGAGGCGTAAGTAATAGAGGTGCTAGAAGTCCAAGCGGATCATATAAAGATGACGCACATGATAGAATATCTCTCTTAGTAGTCGGATGTTCAGGGAAGTTCACACAGAATGCAAAACAATCGGATTGAGCGTGCCAGCAAAGTCCCAAATTCCTTTGTATGCGTTCAATCTAGCCCGGTATACAAACCAGATTGTCTAACCTATCGTCCATAGTGACCTCATTCAAAGCGTCGTTAACATTGCTGACCCATTTATATAAACGGAAACCCCTAAAAAACGAGACTTTTCAAGGTATTCGCTAACTCGTCACCCTCAGAGGTTTTCTCTTCTGAGACAAGACAATCGTCCACGTAAACATTTTATGACAGGGTGGCTTGTGTTTTTTTTCACTGACTAAATATCAGTGGTCTACTGCTGTACGCCTTAAGGCATAGATGGCACGATACGGTAAAGATTTAACCCTGAAAGGATGTACATTCAACGCATAAATATATAGAGACAGTCAATATTACCATCAAGAGACTAAAGAAGTGAGATCCGTTTAGAATGTTTAGTGTGTGTGTGTATGTGTGAAAATCCCTCCATGTATATAAATGTACTTTGTTCCTATTGATCCCCTTAGTTTTACGTTGTTAGTTTTTTGGTTACATTTGAATTTTTAATATTTGTATTTTTTATGATAATTTTCGTTTTTCTTACGCCTTCATTAAGTTTTGTGTTTCTTCCCGAACTGCATCTGTGTTGTTTTAGTTGACACTTGTTCTTGGCGGTAGCAGTATTGATTTGCTCCTCCTTTTGTGTGTGTTCTATCCAGTAAGGATAGAATAACGTTCATTTGTTGTGACTGGTCACTTTTCCCGCATCTTTTATAAACTTCTTTATTTGTTGTAATTCAGATTTGATTGATTGAACAATCATTGGTTGAATAGCCGGGTGTTAATATTTGTATAAGTAACGATTTACATTTAAATTTATGATAAACTATAGAACCGCTTTTTACCCGATTACTTGTTTTGATTTTGACGGGCAAGAGCGTGTGTCTAACCTACCTGTACGGCTATTCTTCAGTCCAAACCGTAGTCTGGATTCTGTAAGAAAGCTAAAATCTTTTTCATCCTCTTCAGGAAGACGTGACTGAAGGAACATTTCTTCAATGTCTGCTGATAGTCCAATTTTATACTTTCTCAATATAAGCAAAACTCCCACCAAGTCGTTTGTTTGCGCAGATGCTCGTCCTTCAGTATTCTTTGACGTGGTAAATCTGTCGGTTTTCTATTTCACGATTATTCACTGAAAGTGAATACCAATCTATTTTATGGGGTATCGGTACTCGATAGTGTCTGTTGAATAATATTGTTTGTTTTTCGGTTATCTTCACGATGACCTTATCGCGTGGTGACATAGCAATATTGTCTGAGTGCTGGTTGTCAGAAATTTCATGTTCAGAAATTTTAAGAATGTCATCCTCGATGGAACTCTTTGTTTCTCAACGGTTAATGAAGACGGAGGTTTTATTAATTTGACCTGCTGGTTTGATGCCCCTTCTGACAACCAGAGCGACCATTTATTTGGGTACATGGAATGTTCGTACAATGTGGGACACCGGAAGAGCCTTCCAGATTGCTGCAGAAATGAGAAGATACAACCTAGAGGTACTTGGGATCAGTGAAACACATTGGACACAAGTTGGACAACAACGACCAACTACAGGAGAGCTCCTGTTATACTCCAGCCATGAAGAAGAAAATGCACCACATACACAAGGAGTTGCATTGATGCTGTCCAAACA